TCCTTTAGAAATCTGGAGTTTCTCACACCGCAAAAAACAACATTTTACCAGAATTCATAAAATCCTTTCTCACATGATTTTATATAAGCAGTTATTTTGTAAGTAGTATAACAATTAATTATTCGTGAAAGATTAATTTTTTTATATATTTAGTATTTATTTTTTATATATTTTGTATATCTTTCCTATATAATTAATAATTATATAAAAATAAGAGGCTAATTAGTATAGAAGCTAACTAGTAGTGTACAAAAATAAATCGACTGTCCAAGGAACACATCAAGTCAAGAGAAAGTCTAAATGATGATTTTTTTGTTACAAAATTTGACTGTTTATTAAGAATTAAAATAAAATCATTTTGATTTTTGTTGATTTTTGTGCATTCCATGGATGTCGAATGCTCCTCAAATCCATGATGTAAGAATACCAGGTATAAAATTGCAATAATTTCTGATTAGTGGAGTGGATTAATTCCTAATAGCAGCTGTATATTATTTTATAAAATTTGAGACCAATTTCTGATTGGTTACAAATGCCGTCACTTTGAATTACTGCAGCGCATCTCTCTGAAATTGGTCTTCTTATGCTCGATTCGAATCAATGGAAGGCAACGGAGACGTCTTCCTCAAAGAAGCGAAATTTCTCTGATAAAATCGAGCATTGAAAAATACGGTGAATAGCTCGGATTCAAGTGCGTAAAACGCGAATTCCTCGCGATGAGCCTTTTTGCAATACGTTTTCTTCGTCGGCGCGGCGAAGAAAGGCAGAGACCGGACCACCGCCATATTGGTTAACCGGGCGGCGCGGAAGGGTCGTCCGGCACGGGGAAGTCCGCGGTAGAATGAACGCGGGAACGCGGGCGAGAGGTTGACCGAGAGGATATAGAAGGAAAAGAGAAAGAGGGAATAGACAGAGAAAGGGAGAGCACGTTGTGTAAAGAGAAGAGATACGGCGGTGGAGAAGAAGGAGGAGAAACGGCGAAGAGGACGGGGAATAGTAACGCGCAGTGTGCCCGGACAACGCTCCCGCCGGGGCCAACTAACGGTCCAAACCACCACCATCATCACCACCATCGGTTCGCCACCGTCACCACCGGCGCGCGAACCTCGCTTCGATAGTTATCGTCATCTTTCTCCTTCCTTTTGCATTTCTTCGCGCTTCGTTTTTCCTCCTCTTTCTCCCTTCTGTCATCGTCGTTGTGGTCGTCGTAGCTATGTCGCCGTGTTCGCTCGACCGCGCGTGTGCGCAGGATCCTTTTAAACTACAAATTCTTCGCGATCGGTATTTTACATTTCCTTTTACATTTCCTCACGACGGATTCCACGAACGTAGACGAGGCGATAGCGCGACGAAGGGACAACTCAGGCGTGAACGATCGCGGAGAAGTGGTAACCTTCTCTCGTGACGGAAGGGGAGGGGGAGAGAGGACTTTTGTGCGCATTTGCTGTCGAAGATTACGGCGATGGTATCTCTTATCGTATTCGGTACTTCCTACTTGTTCCTTATCACGCGCAGAGAATAGAATAAGCCACGTTTAGCTCGCGAATACGAAAATGGAGTCTATTGCGTTGTCTTCATTGAAGATAACTTGGAAAGCACAAACTTGTGTGCACACTTACTGCTTGAAATCTAATGCATATCTTCGTGATATTAGTATCTACTAACGTAGCGAGCGAATATACTCCAACTTTCTGATTATATAAAACGTTAAAGGCTATATGTAAAGAGTATTTTAATTTTTTTATAATACATTTATCTTCGACATGCCCCAACAGCACAGAACTTGCGCAATATTGCTGCAAGTTTTACGCTCTGTTTTGGAGTATTATTATAAATTTTGGAATAATACTGACTACATTTTATGACAATTTGAATGAGAAGTGATCAACATCTTGTACTATCCTTTAATGGTCAAACATATTTTTGTTTCAACTGTAACTACTTTTGCAATGATATTGTTTATTACATTTACATTTTATAATAATTTTATACGAGGGATAACCAACATTTCACGTCTTTAATGATTAAATATATTTTTGTTTCAATTGTATAGCGAGATGTAATTTGTACATAAGAACATATTTCATCGTAAGATATTTTGACGATGATGATCTGTTCTACGACGAAACTTTCTCCCATGTTCTTCATCCATTTTGTTACAAGATTACCCTCCCTTTTCAAGTTTCTTTGTCGTACCTACATATCTCGGTGACGCCCGCATTGCATCATAACGGAGCGAAGTGATCGGTCGATCTTACCTGGTCATTTATTACGTCTATTTTTAGATATCGAGGTACTGTCCTCGAAACTTGGCGAGGTCATAAAACTGGAGGTACTCCAATATGACCACCGGTTCGTTAAAAGAGCAGAGAAGAATGAGGAAACTTCACATTGCGCAGTGCGGTCGTGCGCGATCCAAAGCGGATCCACGAGTAAAAAGAGAACTCCCCCGCCCTGCGATCAAAGGTCCGATAAATTCTCGAGTTACAGGATCTTTCACGTTAGAGCTGCCGTCTATTCTGTTCGGTCTATTTTTTGTACCGTTCTTACGGCGATTCGATGAGCTTCCTCACATTTTATGCGAATCTGTTCTTCACGCGGAGTCTCGCTGCGTTTACCGCAATTGCAACCGGAAGCAAAGGCTACGATGAAAGGCTAAAAAGACCCTTTCGGCATTAGCTACGGTCCAATTTTTTCCGAGTTTCCGAAAGAAGAGTAAGTAAAACTAAAAAGTTCTGGATCTGTAAAAAATCTGTGTGAGACACACACACACATAAACTTAAAATTTTACCCTATTCTATATTATATGAATTTATGACAGGAAAAAATTTTAAAAATTTTTAATTTACGAGGGATGGCTGCGCAAAAAAAGCTTCCAAGACGTTTTGTAAGAGCAGTCACGAAGGGAAAAGACCTTTCTCGGGGTATTCTTATTATCTTCTAACAAGGTCTCCAACGCCGCCGTATATAAACGGTTAATAAGTAGAGAAGCAAAACAGTAAATCATAAAACTCAACCTTCAGCAATTTTAGCGAAGTCTCAAGCAAAATTATCAAGGATTTTCTAATAAATGCGGTAGGTAAGTGCGGGACAACTGCTTTTCGCATCGGCAAACACCGAGAATAATTCAATTTTTTTAGTTTTATTGTCGTTACATGAATCAAAGTTAAAGTCAAAGACGAAGCAAACATTTATCTCCACACGAAAATCTTATTAAAATATTTATATTAAAGCGCTTGTCTTCGAGGATCCTCAACGAATTTACTTACAAATAACGCGTGCATCACGCGAATTGAGAAATAAGTGTTTAACTTTTTTCATTGTAAAAATAATTCATATAATTTATTTCTCCTTGCCAAAAATTTAGGAGGAGCTGCATCCCTGAACCTCCTTGCATACAGTCATAAGAATAGATATAATTAGACTGCCTAAAAATCGCTGTAGATAAAAGACGGTCAGTGAAACGCGTATCAAATAACCACGTGGCAGCTGGTGCGTCTTCATTGCATATTCTAAACCAGGATTAAGAATTTCAGGGAAAAGCGGCTATTATGAAAAAAAGGAAGGAGGATGTGGGACAAGACGGGAACCAGAACACAGCGGGATCGCGGGAGCGCTCTGACAATGAGATACGTAACGAATAATAAAAACTATACACGCGCGGTTGCGAATAATAAGCTGTGCATCGGGATGCACGCCGATCATATTGCATTACGTATTCTCCCGACGTTTCTTCCGGAAAAAAAGATGGATAAAAAAACTTAACCGTCGGTTCTCGGTCAGTCGATTCTGCTGACCTATTTGTGGACTTAGCTTACAAAAAATCCTGTAGTATTTTCAAAGACTTTGAAAAACGCGAAATAGACAGCGAGATGAATCTAATGATCGCACACGTAGCTATTAAGGGGATGCTGGAGTGATCAAATTATCACATTACAGTTGTATAAAAATCTTCGAATTGACTGAACCGAATGAAAAATCTTTTTACAGGATTAAAGTAGACGTAAAATTAGGAGGTGGTGCAGTGGATTTTATACTAAAATCGAAAGAATGTTAAAAAATTTTTTAACTTTTTTTGGTTTTAGTACAAGGTACTAATTAGTATGATAACAACAATAATAATTTTGCATCTACTTTAATCCTGTAAAAGATTTTTTTATTCCGTTCAGTCAATTCGAAGATTTTTATACGACTGTAATGTAATAATTTGGTCACTCCAGCATCCCCTTAAGGATACTTCATACGATATCAGCTAAAAGTATCAGCCAAAGAAACAAATATCAGTCAAAAAGTGTTCTCGTGAAAATATCTTAAACCAACTATAAAAAATAAAGTAAATTATATTTAGTTTTTAGTGGCTTTACGCAGAGAAATATTTTGTTGCAGTTTTAGATAGGTAACTTTGAAATGAATAAGTAGATTCAAATGAACTTTTGTACGAACATTTAGTAAAGTTTTATTAATATATATAAAAATTTGATTTAATTTATATAATGCTCTACTTCCTCATCAAATTGGCAAATAAGTATTAAAACGTGATCTCACAAATATATTCTTAATAATGCAAACAAAAAAGTTAAATAACTTTTAAATCAATAAGAGAGTGCTCAATTTTTACACGGATTTTTACTCAGACAAAATAATAGAACTTATGAAATTTTGTTATTTTGCTTGAATTGTGACACATACATCCTTAAACCTTTGTTTTCACGATTCTAGAACTGCGAGATTTTGAATAAAGGAAGCATTCCAATCACATTGAAGTCGTAAATCGCCATCATGCGCTTCATGTGAATGCGTGAAACGGAACGCACTCTAGGGAGCACTCGGGTGATATCTGAGTAAATAGCCTAGATGTGTGGAATGTGTCGATTATTGATGTATGAGTAGGTTACGCATGCGTCCGGACGTGTTTTGTTTCTTGTCCATTCTTGTCAATCTTGCCGGCGTTCGCTCTCAACTCGCGACAGTCCCGACGTTTCGTCGCACAGCGTCGCCGATCAAAATGTATTCGGCCGTGTGTATTTCCGATTTCGACAGCGACGAGGACAATTATCCGTATTATAATAGTGGCGCCAACTACGATAACAACAATAACAGCAGCAGCAGCAGCAGCAGCAGCAGTACGCAGAATTCACAGTCGCCTCATGTATACGAATTCGGCAAATTCGAGGAAAACTATGGCTGGATTCAATGCCGGTCCAAGAGTTATCCCAATCGCGTGTACTACCACAACACGCGGACTGGCTGCAACACGTGGTATAGACCTGTTTCGCATTTCATGGACATCCCATTCGTCTCTGTTAGAAGGGTAAGTTGATTCGAATCTGAGAAGGGGAATATAAAATTGTATTCTTATCCTTTTTACAATTTCCTGCATTTCTCGCGGTTTTGAGAACAACGTAATAGTCTTACATTTTTTTTATCTTAATCCCTCTCCTTATCTCATGTGTATTTAGAAAAATAAATCGTATCGATATCTCTCTTCAACTAGATATTTTAAAGAGAGAGAGAGAGCGAGAGAGAGATGAGAATTAAACTATATGTAATAAAAAGAGAATAACGGCCAATAAACGAGTAAGTAATGGGTGTTAAAAAAATATTAACATAATTTATTCAATGAAATAAAATAATTCTCTGAATTCTTTGGAATGTGGAATCTTATCGTAGAGTGAGAAAATTAAACCAGTCTTGGAAAAAGAGTGGCTTAGTTTTCCATCTTTAAGAGTGAGATAAACATCTTAATTAAACATATGAACTTTCACAATAAAATTAAAATTATCTGATTAATGAATTCTAATCTTCAATTCACAATCCTCGAAAAATTGATCTCGGATATGATATAAGCTTTACGGTTCGCTTACAGAAATTTCAATTTAATAGATACTAGCTAATTTAATGATAATCTTTAACTGAAAGATAGTAATTAATTACTTATTTTCAGTGCTTTTAACTCTCCGTCTGCAATCGGGGTCTTTTTTGGCACAAACAAAATTCTACTCTCAAATTTCTCAGAAATAAAGGAGGCCTCAGAAATAAGGAAACCTTACGTTCGGCTCCAAATTATATATTAATTATTTATATATTATTATATATATTATTGTATATTATATATTATATATTATTTATACTGCTGAGAATCTCGATTTGGAGCAGAAACGTACGGTTTATGAAACAATGTATTTTCAATTAAATTATTAAATGAATTTTTGTATCAATTAATTGCGTACCGTTTAACATGTCGACTTTTATTCAGACCTTCATTTTATCTGTTTTTTTTTTTTTTTTTTATTTAAATCAGTAGAAGTTCTTTATTGTTTCACATTTGACATCTATATTTTACGGTTACAGTAAACTTAGACTGAACAAAAAAAGACCCAGATTGCAGACGGCGGAAGGAGTAGAAATATGATTGCAAGCGGAAGGTAAGTAAATAATCACTATCTTCCAGTATTAAATTTCTGTTTGCGACTAAAGGAAAATCTTTTTGGTAGGCAAATTACACGGACGATACTGTGGAACAGACGAACGATTTGGAATTGATGTCAGTATCAGACGATGAGAAAGAGAAACAAGTTCCTGCACGCGATGGCGACAAATCATTGATCGATGCCATGGATATCATGGCGCGATATTACTACACTCCCCAGATTCTCGACACGATTGATGACTCGTCCAATATGATGGACGGGAATGACTATTACAAGGAAAAGAAACAAGCGGACATAGACGATGAGAACAACAACGTAAATGATTCGCCATTATACCCCATGAATTTTCTCGAGAACGAATATTTCGAGGATACCGAGGAGAAGACTCATCACATATTGGATTCTCCGTTGAGCGATAACACTTCGGACATGTCTTCCTTGTCAACGAAACTGCCCGCTATATACAGAGTACCGCGTTTAAAGAGGATCAGCGTTGAATGCCAATTGATCAAGCCAGGAAGAACGTATCTCACCAGGAGTCGGGAAAAGCCAGGACCCAAGAAGATCATAAGCGACATGTATGGCGTACGGACCATCAGCTATAATCTGCCTGAACCGGATGAGGTGTGTGCGGCGATGGGTGTGAAAATATCAAAGCTGAGCGATAGCGACAGCGACGCGGGCGTACTATCCTCGCCGTCGCGACGCACGAAAACGACGCGACTGTTGGAGTCCGAATGGCGCGATATAGAGAAGAACTTGCATCAACCGTTACTGAGCGACTCAAGTTCCAGTTCGTCGTCCGATACGACCAGCTCCAGCTCTAGCTCGAGTCAAAGTAGCGACTCCAGCTCCAGCTCTTGCTCGTGTTCTTCATGCGACAGAAGTGCTTGATGCTCGATCGAAATATCCTGTTATCTTTATGTACACGAAAAGAACGATTTTGTTAAAGCATTTAAAAATTTAGCTAGATGTGCAGATCTAAAAATAATTTTATTAAACCATCAGAATAATTATTAGAAAACTCAAGTTGAGTAATATGGACGTACTCAGGATTTCAATTAGGGGAAGGCAAGGATTTATCTATACATAAATTTATTGAAATGTTTACATATTACAGCTAGCCTTTGAGATTGAGAATCTTCAACGAACTTTTTTAAGAATAGCACGTGAGTCACAGATTAGGTAATGAGTATTTATGATTTTCATAAATTTGAGAGGCCCTCCCTGTTCTCCTTGCGTCCATGATGAGTAATATTATAAAAAATTTTGACGTTCTAACAATTAGTTTGAGCGTTCTACATAATTATTTTGATAGTCCAACAAAATTAATTTCAGATCTGTATTTAGCTAAATTTTTAGATATCTTAGTAAAATCATTCTTTCCATGCAGAAAGAACGATTGCATACGTACAGAATCTTCTCATATCAATCAGATTAATATTTTCTTGTGTTGTTAATTTTATTTTGGAATTTTATTTTGACGATTGCTAGAATCAAGTTTTTTATTACTTTCTGTTTTTTTTGACATATGACTAGATACTTACAATTAGTATTTCTATCTTTATTTTCGTATTTTTTAGTCTTATAACTTTAGATTTTTATTTTCATTTTATTCGTGCTAATCGAATAGTTACTACTTTTTCTTTCTTCTACGACCAACACTTTCTTTTGTCGCCACATACGACATTGTGAATATATACAAAAATAAAATCGATGTTGATACTACACCATTTTTCCTAAGATGCTGTCCAACTCTCCTGAAGTAAAATTTTATATCGAAACCTCGCAAATTCAAATCAAAGCTCTATCCACTAAATGATAGGAAATATTCAAAGAAATCAAAGTTCTATCCAAACAATACGAAATATTCAGAAAACACACATTAAAATATTTTCTTTTTACTATCGTTTTCGAAATAATATGTCGTGCGAGAATGATTCGAAGCGTGAAATAAAACACCTTTACATCAAGATGACTGTCGTAGACTGTGATTTTTGCGGTATAGAGGGTTCCCTAAAAGGGGGACAGGGGAGCAAGAGAGGAGGAACGTTCCTTTTTCGCTTGCGGGCATTCTTGGTATCCCGCAGTTGGGATCAGTAAGGTAGGAGTGCCAGGGCAGCAGGGAGATGCAGGTGCAACGGTGCGCCTCGAGTCCGTCACCGTGGCGTGCCTCTCGTCTCGCTTTAAGCACGAAGGTTGTGTTTTTGCTGGTCTCGCTGTGCCGTAGCGTCCCACCGCGTGGCAACGCGCCGCGTTATACCGCTTCTCGCAGCGGCATCAGCGGAACGCGGTGAGGTCTGAGGAAGGAACGAGCAGGAACGAGAGACCGGAGAGACGGGACGACCCCCCCTCGCGGTTCAAGAAACGTTTCGCGCGTCGCGCTTCGCCGACGACGTTCTTCCGACTGTATCCAAGAAAATTGATCGCTTCAACGACATGACGCGGTCTCGGAACGACGGTGACGTCTTTGCCAATTATCGTTACCAATTTATTTCCATAGATAAGATTGCGCAAAGTTGTGTAATACGATGCATCACGTGCATCAGTGTAACGCTGCAATTTTTTTTTTCTTTATACGATTATGATATATGTTTAATATTTCAATATAAGCATGCATCGTTATCAGTTTTGATTTATGTAAGAATAAAAAGTTATCCTTAATTTCCCTCTTCTCGAAAACACTCGGTCGACACAAACTAATAGTAACATAAGCAGAAAATGCAGCTTTGCAACTGTTGTAAAATTCTTTAATGTGATTAAGTCTTGCCCTTAATTCATTACTGGAATTCTAAAATACAAACCGATCATATTAACGAATTTTACAACAGCAAAGCTGCTTTTTCTATTGAACACAACTAATGTTATAGTTTCGTACTCAATTACGTAACACATAATGTTCCATAATAGTTACATGTAACACTCATTTTTAAGTGTGGAATAACATGTTTCAACATAGATCGTTCTAACAATCGCATTAACATTGCGATGTTCCAGTAATACTGCACGAACATTGCAAACATTATAGCGATATTTTGTGCTTTCCAGCAAGAAAGACAGTGTGACACAATGATCATTTAGTCTTTGTTTAACATTTGCTAATAACAAAGATGTAATGATCACTGTGTCACCATGGTTACCAGGTTCCGAGTACTGTACGGCTGGGGTCCGAAGGTCCGTGCGCTGGAGATTTCATATTTCGACTGAAGACCGGATGATAATTGTTTCATTAAAAAAAAAAAAAAAAGAAAAAGGCGCAGGGTTTAATTCATGTTTTGCGTCCACAGATTTTCTTTTCGCTATTAATATTTGACCAACGTAAAGTATCAATACAATCACAGAGACCTGCTTATTATTACAAGATTTATACATACAGTACACTGAAAAAAAAGATTGGCTGCTGCAGCCAATTTTTGGTTGTGTCAGTCTATCCGCAATGTCAGTATAGGATTTCGATTGGCTAACGCAACCAAAAATTGGCTGGTGTAGCCAATTAAAAATGTTATGCCATATTTTACCATTTAATTTGCTGCAGCAGCCAACCTTTTTTTTCAGTGTACGAACGTAATTACACAAACTTTTTTATTATTCGTAAAATAACATATACTGTGAACATAATCACAGACTTTCTTATTACTTTCCACGTAATTTAAATATGCAATTAATAAATACCTCGTGCGAGCGAAAAACTGGAGATTTTTCCCATCTGCTGGAGAACTGGAGACTGGTCCTGAAAACTGGAGTCTCCAGTCGAAATCTGGAGACCTGGCAATCGTGTGTGTCACCCGTGTTCTTTTTCTGAAAAGCATCCATTGTTGCAAATTTTTATGCTGCATGGGTTGATGTTATGCTATATATCGATCGATTCCTTACGTTTTCAAACTCTAAATATCTCATGTAAATAGGTATGTATCGTATTATATACAGATAATATCTCCGATTTATTACAATTCAATGAATATAAAAGCTGCAATTCTCGCCCTTCTCCCTCCATCAATTCGAAATCGTTTTGTTGTATTTTCTATTTGAACCCGACACTAGAGACACTATAATAAGAGACTGGCATAGATGGGCTAATTTTTGATTGGCTGGATATGGAATGGCAGAAGCCAATCAAAAGTCGTGCTGGTAATAGATGACAGTACAGCCCGAATTCTGATTGACTTCTGCTTTCCTACTTTTTCTGCTTTTCCGTCCTAGTTGCGAACGCGTCCTATGACTTATCGTCCTGCGAATGCCATTTTCTATCCAACTGGAACTTATGCCAGTCTCTTATTATAATGCCTCTAAACCCGACGCAAATCCACCGCGACGATTGCTCGCGCGGCCATCGCGACAAGTATAAACGCGCCGAGCGTTCGCCCGGCAAAAATCACAGCCGGTTTTCTAGCTCGGCATATGGCAAACGTTACCTCCGCGCGAAGTGTTTATTCGCAGCCGGCGCGCCGTCTCGCGGCTATTATTCGCGCCCATCGTCGTCATCGTCACCGTCGAATTCGCGTTGGCAAACGCTGCCGAGAGCCGGCTGGAGAACGGAACCGCGCGAACGACAGAAGTGTGAGGAGCTCGCATGAACGGCCGCGTCGCACCGCGTCGCTTCCGGCTGCCGACGCGCGGTTAATTTCCTTTCGGCACGGCGCGATTGTCCGGTTGACCGCGGATTCATCGGCGCGGTGCCGCTGGCGTCATCTGTCGTTGGCTATTAAACGCGAGCGAGCGGCCGCGTTGTGATTGATGATGAAAAAATGATAAGACCCTCCCCTATCCCTTGCTGCCGTCGCGATGACTTTTGCAACGGCGAAGAAATTTATATGAAATGGAACGATGCAGTGAGACACGCTCGCATACTTTGTTACGCTCCTCCCCTTTTCTCTTCGGATCGATATTCATACAGTCGATTTTTATATTTAAAACTATCTTAAGTATAATCTTGAGATGTCACGAACCAATCAGAGGATCGTATCATCTTAAGACATTATTTAAAACGGTCTTAAAATAAGAACGGACTGTGAATATCGACCATAATGATATCATAGGACGTCGTTATAGTCTCATTTGTCACTTAAAAGTGAACTCAAGTGACAAATTAAATAAGGTCTGACGGTGTTCTTATATGATATTTGGCGCTCTCTCCAGCAAGAAACTGCACAGTGTAACATAGCCATAGTGATTTTTTTTTTAACATTTCACTTTTTGTTTAACATTAGCAAACAACAAAGATGTAATAATTCACTGTGTGATTGATGTGTCTCTTGCTGGACAGCACCTTATTATATCATGAACCAAGATAAAAATTAAAAAGTGAATAAATTTACTACGTAATGACCAATGAAATTAATGAAGTGAATAAATATTCTAACAAATATATTCATTTTTACTCTGTTGTAACCGCAGACTAGTAAAAAGAACTAGGAAGAATAATCTATTTCATCGAGATCGATTTGTTATTATTAAAGATCGATTTGTTCTTATTAAAGATCTCTACAACATATTTTCTTATCAACTTTTAACTATAGATTCCTACATAAATTTTCACCTCATTTTGATCGAGATACATCGACTCCTGTTCTTTATTCCCTGTTCCCTATTCATTTCTTTAATTATACGCAGCTCCCTTCGCGTTTTATTCTCGCAGAAAAACTGTAAGCCTAGATCTCGCGAACAAACAGTTACGCTTCCCTCCCGTCGAGGATGACGCTGAAAGCCTATTCTACAATGTGCTTTTTGTTTCCTGTTTCTTGCTTTTTGCTATTTTTTGTATCTTGCCTTTTTGCCTCTCGTCCCGTTTTTCGTTGCTCGAGATAAACATTAACGAACTTCAAAAGAAACAGAAAACACGTATCATGAAATATAATTGTCGATAAAACGATCGCAAAGAGGAAAAAAGCAAAAGGTAAAAAGCAAGAAACAGGAAACAAAGAGCATATTGTAGAACAACCGCAAGATGATTAATGCGATGCGTTTAAGATCGTCTCGTTCGAGGATCTCAGCGATTCTTCCGCCATCGATGCATATATCATAAAGCTTATTTTTTTCATTCAATGCTAATGCTGATTAATTTTCACTTAATGGGCGCTAAAACGCGTTCCATTCGCGCCGCGAGTCTTTCCCTCTCTCAAGAGTCACGTTATTTCAAGCGGCCATCTGCGCCCCGCGGGGAAACTGTTCCGGCTTGTGCTTGACGCCGTACAAGTGTTTATCTGTCAACGCGATAACTGCGGACGCGACACTTCGAACGATCGTTAAAATTCCACCAATTTGTCGCCGCTTAAAGATATACTGCAAACGAGACCTTCAACTGTAATGGGATACGAAAAAATGTACGCGTATAATAAAATTTACGCGAGCCATTTGGAACCCAAGGAACGCACAAAAGTCAACAAAAAATCGAAGTGATTTTATTTTGATACATAAACGTTAATAACGTTAAATCAAATTTTGTAATAAAAAATCATCATATTGACTTTCATGACGTCAAAATGAAATTATTTTAACTTTCTCTCGACTTGGTTCCTTAGGGGAGGGGCTGAAAGTTACTTTGACGTGGTAAAAAATTGAGAGGCCCAGACACGCGCTAGGTAGATAAGAATCCCCGTTGAAGCATCCGTGAACTTTGCACCGTGAGAGGAGTTCGCTTTGCTTAACGAGTTCCCGCGCTTCGAGACAATGAAGTACATTGCGTGCGTTATTCCTTTCTTTCTCTTTCC